CAAAATTGTCTATTTTTAAGAAATGAATTTATCCATAATTTCGCCCCTCATTGAATATTACTTTAAATGTACTTAACTAATATGACATTAGTAATAAGTTTGAAGAATTATGAAGATCCTACCAATTATATATCTGTATTATTCTATTTCATGAAACTGTACCTACACTTTTTATTTTTTGATGAAACGCCAACGAAACCAAACCAGGGAGCCAAAATATGTTTATGGCTAGCACAAAACGTCTTTTATCTAGCTTTCACTAAAAATTATGCTTATAAATTTATTTATTACATCTCGAAAGTTTATTGGTTTGTTATTCTAATGTTTCAATTATAAATTCTCATAAAATGTTTTACCGTACCTAATTTGAATTTAATCGAAGTGAATCCAATGAAATCAGTAATGTATTTTTTATAAAATATCGATTTGAAAAGCAACGAGTCCAAGACAGATTTACCCACATATGGTAGCAATTGGGGTCACAGTAAGTTAGCCGATTATTATGCATAGTAATGGAGTAGAATGAAAAAATCTATCGTTCAGTAGTTGTGGAGACGTCAACATTCCGTAAAAAACATTGTCGATCATTTTATTGCCGTCTAGATAGTCCCACGAAATATTTTAAAGGATAACAATCACATTTAACTTACTTCAAAGCTTTGAATATTATTTAAACTCTAAGAAACTAAGTAGCAAACATAAATTAGTAACACGAAAAGTTTTGGCCCCTCTTGTCAGCAAACACTAAAAAATGGTTTCTTATACAGGGTACCACTAATACAAACACCAACTACGTAAGAAACAAAAAATAAATACATGCCGGCTATATTAAGAATACAACAAAATAACAGACGTGCAACATGAAACTATAGAAACGGTGGAAGAATTCTGCTTTTTAGAGTCACTGGTGGTGCAGTGGCTAACCTCTTTTTTGTTGGCCTAAGCCCCAATTCTTCTTCTTCTTCAAGTGCCCTGTCCGCTGCGAACGTTGGCTATTAACATGGCAATTTTGATCTTGTTTGCGGCGCTTCTGAATAGTTCGACCGATGTGAGCCCGAACCACTTCCGCAGATTTTGGAGCCACGAGTGTCTTCTCCTGCCTGGCCCTCGCTTACTGTCTATTTTTCCCTGGACAATCAATTGTAGCAGACGGTACTTATCGTGTCTCAATATGTGGCCTAGATATTCAAGCTTTCTTTGTTTAATTGTATTCACGATTTCTTTCTCCTTTCCGATTCTTTGGAGTACCTCTATGTTGGTGACATGTTCGGTCCAGGATATACGAAGAATGCGTCGGTACACCCACATTTCGAATGCTTCTAGTTTTCTCGTTAGCGTCTCCGTCAGCGTCCAGGCCTCCACGCCATACAGCAAGATCGGAAAAATGTAGCATTTAACTATACGTAGTTTTAGGGGAAGAGACAAATCCTTGCTTATGAGGAGCTTTTTCATATTGCTAAATGCTGCTCTAGCTCGTTCTATTCTCGCCTTAATTTCTATGGTCTGTTCCCATTTTGCATTTACGTTGGTGCCAAGGTACACATAAGACTCTACATGGTCAATTAATATGTTACTTATCCGTAATTGTCGAGCAGGTTGTTGCTTTTTGCTTATCAGCATCCACTTTGTCTTCTTGAAGTTGAGGCTCAGGCCGTATTCCTCACTAACTGAATAAAGTTAGCCCCAATTAAGAACGCAAAGTATATCAAGAGTAACAAAGTGCAAACTTTATACAACAGTAATATACCCAGTGCTCAATAACGGATCGGAAACATTAGCAATGATAGAGCGTAAATAAACTATTTAAGCAGAGTCGTCTACGTTATGCGGAGAAATAATTTGCTAAAATAACTAGCTAAATAGATCGGTCCAAAGAAGTAGAAGTGGGAGATCTAAACTCAGATATCTGTGCAGTGGAAAAGATATGCACTCGACAGGGAAGAATCAAAGAATGTTGAAGAAAAAGAAGCTGTAGAAGAAAAAGTAGAAATTAAATTATTATCAAATCTTTTCCTTATGGTGCCCTATCCAATTAGTCGATGTTAAAGACAATTTTGGCATACTCCTCTCGATCGTGTGTGGCTCTAAAGAGTGCATGGGCATCGAGGTTTGTCCAATTCCTTATGTTTTTAAGCCTTGAGTATTTCTTTCTTCTGATGCTCCGTTTTCCTTCTATCTTCCCTTCCATAATAAGCTTTAAGAACTGTTACTTGGAATTTCGAAATATATGACCCAGGTAAGCAGTTTTTCTTCTTTTTATTATTGGCAGCAATTCCCGTTCTCTGTCCATACGATTTACTACTTCGACATTTGTTGTGTGATCTGCCTAAGTACTCTTCTAAATACTCACATTTCAAAGGTCTCCAATCGGTTGATTACATTGGCATGTATGGTCCAGGTTTCTATACCATATAACAGTATGGAGTAAATGTAACATTTTACAAAGCGATATCGATGCGTTAAGTTAAGGCTGCTGTTGCTTAGCAAGGTTCTCATATTAGTAAATGCTGTTCTGGCTTGCTCAATAGTGCTACGTATCTCTATGTCTGGATCTAGATCTTCGTTATTCAACTACCAAGATATCTGAACTTGCGGACCTTTTCGACGTACTTATTGTTTACTCATATATTTAATTGCATATTTCGTGTTTCGTGAAGATTAATATAGACAAGACTTCGTCTTGTCTATCGTAATCTTCAAGTCCAGTCGTTCTCCTTCAGTGTTTAGTCTATCTATTAGTCGTTGTAGCGCTTCTTGGCTATCAGCTATTATGACTGTATCATCAGCGTAGCGAAGATTACTAATAGTCTGTCCATTGATTTTGATTCCATTTTCAATGTCACTTAAGACTCTATCGAAAATCGTTTCAGAGAAAAGATTAAAAAGGAGGAGTGACAGAACACAACCCTGTTGTACACCTTTTTCGATTAAGAAATATGATGTAGATTCCAGTCCTACTCTCACAGATGCCAGTTGATTCATATAAAGGTTCTTTATGATTTTAAGGTCATTCTCATCTATAGAACGTTCCTGGAGCAATATTACTAATTCTGAATGATTAACACAATCGAAAGCTTTCTGGTAATCTATAAAGCATGGGAAGATATCTTTTTGCTGATCTCTGCATTTCTGAAATAGGACAGTTAAACTATAAAGTGCTTCTCTTGTGCCAAATCCTTGTCTGAAACCGAACTTTGTGGGTCTTATATATCTTTCACATCTGTTGTATATTCTTGTGTGAATTATCTTTAAGAAGAGTTGATCAGAAGAAGATTTAAGAAGATGATCATTCGTAATTGGTCGCAACTATTATCGTTTGGCTTTTGTGGGATTGGTATAAATGTTGATTAAAACCAATCGTGTGGTATTTGACCGGACCCCTAAATGGCATTAAAAAGATCTACCAAGGCGTCTATATGATCTTCACTAAAGATTGTTAAAACCTCTATGTATAGGTCGTCTGAACCTGGTGCGTTTCCCCATTTGCTATGTTTGATTACCCTTACCACTTCTGACTTATTTGGGTGAAGGTTCACTTTTATATTCACTTTCAGAGTTTCTTCTAGTTTTGTCTGAGTATAGTTGCTGTGTGTAGTTTCTCCAATGTTGGAGTAGATTCTTGGGATCAGTAATTAATTTATTGTCCTTCACAATACTGTTTAAACTGCAAGGTTTTGTATGACCTGTCACTTCTTTAACGAGTTATGTATGTTAAAGTGGTCACGTTTTTCTTCCAAAATGATCTGCGTCCATCATTGATAATATTTGGTCACTCATCCAATTCTTCTTTTTGTACTTTTGGGAAGCAATCAGAGACTTGGTGGTGGTAACGATAGCTTTTTTAATACAATTCCATTTGCTTCTATACTGACCGGTTGTTTAGATCTTATCGTGATATCCGCTATTGTCTCGTATAATTTTTCTGTGACTTTTAGTTTAACGTTAGGTTGTTTTAAGCTGTTTATATCAATTTTCCTTTATGTATTTTCTTTTAATTTTCTTAAGCTTAATTTTCAATTTTCCTACTACAGGATTGTGATCAGATCCGATATCTATTCCAGGGTACGTTTTTATCCTTGCAATCCATTTCTATATCTCTGATTAATCAATAAAAAATCAATTTGATTTTATTATTACATAAGAAACAGTAAATGGGGGTAAAATATTCTCCACACTTTCTGTTATAAAATATTACGAATGGTTACGAAATAATACATTAATAGCATAAATTCAAAAGTATAAGAGATTGTAAATTCTTATATACAGAACTACCTCTTCCAGGGAATTTCGTGAAAATATTATACCCAATGTATTGTTATATTTTTAATTTATTTATCGTCGCTGTCTATGACGGTAGATTGCAAAATATTTTGGGTTTTCCCATCTCTTAAAATGTTCAACGCACCATACAGTTGTTCTTAGGATTCGTTTAAAAAGATATTATGGGAAATAAACGACAATATATTTAGGAAAATTTTAACCACATTTCTAAAATGTAATAAGCCTTCAATACGGAAACCAATGGAGGACGTGGTTTATATAAACAAAAAGGTTTCCCCAGACTATACTAGAAATTCTAAAAATGTTTAAGATAAGATTCTACAAATATTTAAGAGTTTTCTCTAGTCAGTCAACTTATATAATTTTTCATCTACATTTCCTCTAATGTTTCTTTGTATTATTGTCAACATATCTATTTAGAGAGATCTAGGCATGCCTCTTATTGACCCTCATGACATGTTTTCGTTTTGAAACACATTTTTCCTTTCAAATTTTCTTTCAAAAACATACAAACATCTGTTACTTTTTTTAGTAAGAAAGTAAGCCTGCTGATTTTTGTCTTTTTTGCGATTCTACGAATATTTGGCACTTTAATTGAGCTTACTAACAGGCATGAATTTGACCAGCATATAATCAAGAAGTTAATCCATATTAACATTTATCATCATTTACAACACCATTAAAATAAACAAGTTTTTTATATCGTATAAATTCCACAGGGGCCGCCAGGACTGGATGGAATGAAAGTAAGTTCTTTTAGTTTTTATTAACCGATTATTACGATATTTAATTTTTTTAATAAATTGTCAATAGTGTAAAAATTTGCTAGAAATATTCAAATCACATAAAATTTGTTGTTTTTATGGTCTGCTACCTTTTTGAACCAATAAGAAGAGATCAATTTCTAACAGTGATGATTACGCAAACAAATTCAGTTTTTTCAAAAGGATACGTATGTGTAGGCCTACTTTTTCTGTTCGTTCTTTTAGTGTTTCAATGTGTATAATTGTTATGTCTCTTTTTATTATTGCTTAATCATTTGCAAATGCGAGGTATGGTATGTTAAAGATAGTTTTAGTGGTTCAGAGTCTAATTGGTTTCCAGTGGATTTCTTCACGCAGTTTATTTTTCCATCCTTACATAACTTAGTCCAACACAATGTGTCCAACACAATGTTAAAAAGCAATTGTGACAGTCAGTGTTCGGGGGGTGTTTACTCGTTTAAGTTTAAGTTCCTTCCCCCTTTTACTTCTTTATGGGGTTTGGAATTAGACATTTTGTTGACTTTTTTCCATATAGTTGTTATAGAAGTTGAACTATGTATTGTGGTTGACATATTCTCTCCAAGAGTCACGTTTGGCTTTTTTAATAGTATACTAGTGACTCCTCTTAATTTTTTTGAATTCTATTGAATTTTCTTGAGTTTTGTGTCGTTTGAATTTATTAAAAGCTTGTTTCGATTGCTTTAATGCTACTTTGCACTCATGATTCCACCAAGGTACCGACTGATGTTTGTGATCGCACTTAATTATTCCAACGTACTTTTTGCTGATTCTGTGATTACGTTTGTCAGAGAGTATATTGTTTTGTCTATATCTACATTGTCATTTAGGTTTTGCAGATTGTTATCAATGTAATTTTGAAATTCTGTCCAATTTGCCCCTTTTAAATTCCATTTTAGTTGTTGCATGGTAGTTGATTGCAGTTCGTTGCTTAATATGATAGGGTAGTGATAACTATCATATAGATCTGGTAACACATCCTATACACAATCTATCACATAGATCTATACTAGAGCCTTCTATTCTTATGTCAAGCTGTATTGTCCGTTAAGGATATTTAGGTTGACTTTTCTATTATTTTTTCTATTTTTCGACCTAGAGATGTTAGTTTTGCTGAACCCCATAACGGATTATGTGCATTGAAATCTCCAATTATTATTCGTGGAGCAGGTAGTTGATTTAATAGGTTTGAAATTTCTTTTGAATCGGCTTCTTTGTTGGGGGGAATGTAAATATTGCAAATTGAAAAAGAAATTGTGTCTGTGACTCTTATTCCAATTCCTTCGACAGTTGTTATGAAACTCACATGTTTACATTCATTTAATATGGACTTGTTAAATAAATACGGATTTTTGTTTATAATTATTCATTCTGTGGCTTGGTATTAATTGTTGTTCGTGAATTTGTGAGGTAAAGATATCAAAGTATTAAGATATTTACTATGAATGTTCATAGTTTAAGGTTATGTTTATTGTTTGTTTAAAACTTTAATAATTTTTTTACTGTATTTCAAGGTGTTTTTTAGTTGTTGTTCTTATCAGAAATATTTCAAAATAAATCAATAACTCATTGAATTTATTGAAGAAGTTGAAAAACATTTTTATTAATGTTTTATTCTTTTTTCGTTGCCAGTGATTTTATCCTGTGAAAGATTAAAGATATTCGTTTTCTCGAAGTTTAAGTTGTAATATAACATGTGGAAAACTTTCTATCACATTGCCATAATGAGTGTTTAAAAAATGTTTTTTGAATGTTGTAATAGTTTTTTATTTTATTTTTTATATCTGGGCATATAATGGCTAGTAAACATCTGTTAAAGATATCCAGTATTACTGAGTTCTTCAATAATGACAACAAAACTACCGTTTACTATTTAAACTACGAGAAAATGAATATATTTAGTTATTTAGTGGATTATATCACTAGGACTTAAAAAAAGAATAAAAAATAATTTAAATATTTCTTAACTTTGGAAATACATTTAATGATTTACAGTAATATCTTGAAATACAGTAAAAAATAATTAAAGTTTTAATGATATTATATAACCTTAAAATATGAACATTCATAGTAAATATCTTAATAGTTTAATATTCTTAACTCACAAATTCACGAACAACAAATAATACCAAGCGCACAGAATGAATGTCCATAGCCAAAAGTCCTTATTTATTCTTCAAACAATTAAATAACCAATATTTTCCTAATTCTTATGGGACTAATACATACAAATTAGAAATGTTTGAAAAGGTTTTTAAAATCTCCGCCATTGTGACATCACAACTTAGGTAGTCCATTAGAAGAATACTTTAATGCCAGTTAAAAGTGGACGCAAATGTTTATAATTCAATTAATATTAATTAATTTTTAAACTAAAATTTTATTCCGTCTATTATTTTTTTTTAATTAAATACGCTGCTCATGACATATGTATATGTTTTTTACATCAAATTAAAGTTAATTTTTTCTTAATATTATGATATATAAGGTTACCTGAGAAAAAAATTGTCGCATATTAGGGTTGTCAGCTGTTAAAAATGGAAAATTTGTTCTGCGCCCGATCTGTTCGGTCTGAATTAGGCTTGGGGTTCGACTAATTTTTGGTTATATTTGTTTTTGGGTTGTTTTTGGAAGGCAGGCAAAGAGAATTTTGTGTATTACTGCTAAAAGAAAAATTCCCCTTAGTACAGAATTTGACGGTTTGCTGGTGAGAATTCTGTTATATGTATGATTTGCTTGAAATTTTAATCAATCACCAGCCTTTGCGTCCACTGCTGGACATAGGCCTTCCTCATTTTTGTCCATTGTGCTCTATCTTGAGCACTTTGCATCCAATTTCTTGACATTTTCTTGAGATCGTCAGTCCAACAAGTAGGGGGTCTCTACTTCTTTTGTCTAACCTCGGCCACCACTCAAGCAATTTCTTCGTCCATCTTTCATCCCTGATTCGGGCGACGTGTCCGGCCCAGTTCCATTTCAGTGTGGTAACTCGGGAAATTACATCGGTAACTCCTGTTCAACGTCTTAAGTCTTCATTTCTAACTCGGCCACGAAGCGATATACTCAGCATTGACCTTTCCATTTTCCTCTGAATTATTTGCAGCGTTTTAGAACTTGTAGCTGTCAATGTCAAAGTTTCGGCACCATAGGTCATCACAGGCAACACACATTGGTCAAATGTTTTACGTTTTAAAAGGAGGTTGAATATAGCTCAAAGATCAATAGCTACTCTATGACAATAAGTATGGGCTTTAAAATATTGAATTTTAAGACAAAAATGTTCATTAGAGATTTTTCACAAATTCATTATTTGTGGTTATTCGTGATTGAAACTTCGAAAATTACACGTCAAAAAATGATGTTTCATGCATATTACTTTTGCCAGTGGTAAAATCGTACTGTCAAAATTTCAAACATCTCGATGCATACAAAAAAATTCAGAGGATTTTTCTATATTTACCTTCAAATCATGGACTCTCTGTAGTAAATGTCGTCTGCGATTTCACCCTTTTTATACAATAGGTGGTTCAAGGCAGTTTTCCATTCATCAGGGATTTTTCTGTTCTCTATATATTTCTTGTAGAATTTTTTGTATTTCTTTTAGTGATTTTGGTCCTAATTTTTTTAAGAATTCAGCTACTATCCCGTCTTCTTCCTAGGATTTGTTATTTTTGAGTAAGTTTATGTGTGAGTGTATTGCTTCTTTGGATAGTGGGATTTTTCTTCTATAATGTCTGTCTGAATTTTCTAAAACCGTCTTTTGGTTCTCGGCAGTTTAATAGTTGTTCACAATATGAGGCTATTTCTTAACAATTTTGTTCATTGGTTAATGTCAATTTTTCGTCCTGTTTTCCAAAACACAGTTTTGTGGTGTATATCATTGGATCTGGTTGGCAATTTAAAACAACTTATCTGATAAAAATGAAAAATATAAATTATTTTTAATTTGTGTATTTCCAAATAATTGTTCTGAAAAAAAAATATTTTACTAGGGAGCACAAGGAGAGCCAGGAAGTAAAGGAGAGAGAGGAGATCCAGGACTTCCTGTAAGTATTGATGGTATCAGTAAGAGGTGGCTATAAATTTTGCGAAATACCTTTTATAGAATCAGTAACAAATAACTTCTTAACAAAAGATTACGTAGAGAAATGCTAACAAAAACTAAAAATACTAAACTTAATGAGTATTACTAATACTAACCGAAACTTATATTTTCCAGGGTACTGATGGAATTCCTGGACAAGAGGTACTAACACCAATCATTATTATATAACAGTTTTGCTAGTCTAATGCTTCTACTATTACTACATAATACAGCGCATGCACAATTTCAAGCCATTATTACTTTATAATCGACATATTATTTTGTCCACAGGGTCCGAAAGGCGACAAAGGCTACAAGGGTGATGCGGTGAGTGTTTTCCTATTAAAATGTTGTAGGTATGATAGCTGCATTTTGATACTAAACATGTATTCCGGTGCATGTGTACTGAATATTCGTGCACAAAAGGGCTGTTAAGTAGGTCTTGTATTAATCATCAGACTCGTTCACCTGATCTTAATCCTAATTTTGTATCAAATGTATAGCTAATGAATGGTGCTTTTACCACATTCAAACACGATATCTTTTTTGTTTAATTTTGAATTATTGTCCTTGCTTATCTGTAAGTTCACCTCTGGTGTTCATATATTCTTCTTTCCACCAACTTTTTTTAGTGTCCCATTTCTTTATCATACGTGTACAAGACAAATTTCTTTTATGTTCGTTATTCAACCTACAGTACTCTATGCTAGCGAGACCTGGACACTAAATAAAGATATGGAAGTAAAATTAGATAGATGGGAACGAAAAATTCTTAGAAGGATATACGGAGGTGTAAAAGAGGGGAACATCTGGCGAAGAAGAACAAATGAAGAAATAATGCAAATATATGGGCAACCAAAAATAACAAGACTCGCTAAAATTCAAAGATTAAGAGGCTCGGACATATAGCAAGAATGAAGAAAGGAAGAGTTCCCAATGAATTAATAAACACGGAGGCTGGTACAAAAAGGAAAAGAGGCCGCCTCCGAAGAAAATGGCTGGAGTCGGCAAAAGAAGATCTGCGGGTACAAGATTGGAAAAACTTAGCACAAGATAGAAAGAAATGGAAGAAAATCATTGAAGCCTGAGGCCTGTTGAGCTGAACTATATGTATACTGTTTCTAAAAAAAACTTGCAATATATAAATATATTCAGATATTGAGAAGCCTATTTATGTACAGATATTTTATTGGTTGGCATACAATCAAAACCAGTCTTTAAAAGGATCATCCTCTCATCATTTATATTAAGAAGGAAAATCAGCAAAAACACGACTGGACGAAGTAGAAAAGCGGCCATTCCAATAATACTGGTGAGGTTGCATTAACCGTTTTTTTTTAGATATAGAAAGTGCAATTAACGCACTACCAAATTCTCTTTATGATGCAACAGGATCAAAGCCATGCTGGAAAATAGGGTGATTCCAACAGACCTGCAAGGAGAGAAGATTTTGGCCAAAACAGCTAAGGGTTGCCTACAGGGGGGACTGCATCCTGGTCGATGACTTGATCTTGCTTCTTGAAGCATAGGGGGTAAAAGTGCAGACCTATGCCGATGATCTAGTAAGTATGGTAACCGGAAAATATGGAAATGTTTTATCCAGCACACTCCAAAGAGCATTTAATATCCTTTTTAGATAGAGCGACAAAAAAAAACTTTCTGTCAATTCTAGCAAAATAGTAGTAGTCACTTACAGAAGGGGCGGAACTTAGATAACATCTGGATGCCCGCTCTGAATGGAGAAGCTGTTAAAGAGGCGGATGATGTCAAATATCTAGGAGTAATACTATATAAGTGGCTTACATGTAACGAACCTTTTGGAAAAAATAACCAACAAAGCAAAGCTTTCCCTTTGGATATATAGAAGGATATATGGAAAAACATGGAGTATGAAACCAAACAGACCTACTGGCTATATATGAGTGTAGTCATATGATTATCTATGACACACTAATATGATGGTTTAAATACCAACAAAAGACCACCAAAAACGGATCAACAAACGGCTCTAAATCCGTTGAAGAAGCTGGAGTATATGACGCAAAACCGAGGCCAAGTCTTAGTGAAAGCCTAGGTAATCTTCAAAGCGGAAATATATGATACAGAGATGTGTCTGCAGAAACTAATAAAGAGGAAGTGCAGGGACATAAACTAAGGTCAGAATACTGTGTTAAGAAGGTATTTGTCAGATAATATGACATTTATGTGGAGAAACATTGATAATCTGACAATTAGAAAAATATTTTTTTGTTTTTTTTTTAATTACTGGATGTAATAAAATAATATACATATATATGTAAAATTCTTTATTTATTGATATTAAAAATATAAATATATATTTATATATAAGTATCTTAATCGTCATTCTCACTGAATTTGTGTTTTTTTTTTCACTTCGAAGTAGTTTCAGTACTTGGCGTGTGCAGACTTTGCTTAGTCTGAAGCCTGCTTGTTGTGGAATTAGTTTTGCAATATTGTTTCTATTCGCCACAATATTGGAATCTGGTATGCAGACCGACACTTGTTAAATAAGTCAAACACCCGTTATTTCGCTTTTGACCCGAAGTGCTTTATCTGTTCGGTTAGGATTTCATCCACCCTATTGATTTTCCTTGGCAAAAATGAGCACAATTAAAATAAAAAATATCGTATCTGGGCTACATACTTCGAAACGATAAATACTTTCTTCTACACGTCATCCTGCAAGAAAGAGTAGAGCAGGGAAAAAACACTTGGGTAGAAAGAAGAAATCTCGGTTGAGGAATATCAGAGATTGGACTAACCTCAGAGTTAAACAGATATTTTACGTTGCAAACGATAGGGAAGCATTTAAAGAAGTGATCGCCAACCTTCGTTAGAAGGCAGCACAATAAGAAGATTGATTTTTCGTTTTTCATGACGTATGTGCTCTTCTTGAGCTTTTCGGTGGTAAATGCCTTTCGCAACAAAGTTGTTTCCTGTTATTGCGTCTCTTTAATTTTCGGTGTTTTACATCCGTGGTTTGCTTTACCATTCAGCAGCAGTTGGTGTGCTATCTGATTTGGCATTACTGCGCATGGCTGTTTTACCTCTGTGGAATCACCGTTAAGTTTGTTGATTATATTCTTAGCTTACTAACAGTTGTTTGTCATGTCCATTTTACTTAGTGTCTCACTCCATCCTTTTTGGCTTGAGGTGCTCACTATCTGATGCAATATTTCACTTAGCTCCGCCTTAGTTTCACTAAATGAACTTTTGCCATATTCTCCGATGTATTTTCCAGGGTCTTTTCTTTGTCGTGAAGACCAGATATTTAATGTTGACATACTCAGGGTATGCGCTTACACGAGGATTGTTTTACAAGCTCGATGAAGGCATCATTGTCGTGAGTCGGGGCTATGCCCCTAATTTTGTCAGCATATTTTTCCCAGCTAGCTTTTTGAGGCCTTCCTTTGGAAGTTATTTTGTAAGCTATTATAGTTTTATAGTTATTCCCACTAGCCGATGTTTCTTTTTTGGTATAGGCTTGTATACCCTTCTTACTCAAAGATCCTATTAAGTAATCAGTAAAAAATAAAAAAGGTAAAAGATAAATCGCTTCCTATTGATCAATTTTTCACATCACTTTAAACAGTTTTTTAAAAGATTTGCTCAGATGTCTTCTAGAAATAAATAAATATTTATATTGGCGTATTCTAGACGTTTATTCCATTCCAATACCTTAAAAAGCCTTAAATGTTGATGTATTTGTCACATTTCATGTAGTAGTATATTTTTTCTTCCTTAATTAAATATTTTTTTCAGGGTCCGCTTGGAAAACGTGGAAGAAAAGGCGACAAAGGAGATAAGGGAGACCAAGGAGTTCCAGGACTTGATGCTCCCTGTCCTTTAGGAACAGACGGATTACCATTGCCAGGTTGTGGATGGAGACCTCCAAAGGTATGTAGATATTTTCTCTTAACCATTCATATAATTTTGTGCTAACTGATTTTCTGTTTATTAACTCGTAAACTGCTGAATAACCATTGACTCCGAAGCCAATAATCCTCAATCACACACATATACACTGTTTATTAACTTTTTAAATTGGACTTATATTTTTTATAAGGTAATATATATGATAAAAGTCCATTGAAATGTTTTATTTTTATGCCTTAGCGTGTATTTCTTAGGGGACGCAATTTTGTTTTTTGATATGTTGGTTATACCAAGAAAATTAGTTGAATTAACGCAAATGGGCATGACAGACTCATATGCGCAAGTAAAAATAGGAAGCAGAACATCGATGCTATTTGGTATAAACTCAGGACTTAGGCAGGGGGACCCCTTGTCACCGTTGCTGTTCAATTTTGCTTTATAATATGCAATAAGTAAAATATCGTCTGAGCTGACAGGAGGATTTGCTGATCAAGGATCAAAACTGTTTCTGGCCTTTGCTGATTATATAAGTGCAGTCACGCATTCTACAACAGACATGAGAGAGGTGTTTTCACAGCTCGAGGAGGAAACAGGTAGTCTGGGTCTTCGAATAAATGAAGAAAAGATGAAATACATGGTAGTCACCAAAAATCCGACCAAGAAAAAAAAGAAAGGATGATGTTGGAAAAGAAAAGAAGGAAGCGGATTCATCTAGAATTGGGGTACACCAATGGGAAATAGAAGCGCAAGATCGAAGAGGATGGAGGGCGACAGTGGATGCAGCGAAGGCTCACCCCAAGTTCTAAAGCAAGTGAAGAAGAAGAAAATATGTTGGAAGGGTAAGTATAAGCTTACGTTCAAGTTTATGGGGTCGCCACCCTTGTCTCCAGTTGCCATCTAGAAAAAAGTGGGGTAATGGTTTTCGCTTGTATCTCGTAAATTAGCAACCATACAAAAATTTTATTAAAAATTAATTGTAGACAATTAAATCGTCTACAATTTTATTTTTATTACTTTAATCGTAAAATGGAAAATAAAAAAGTTATAAAAAAAATAACTAATAACTTTGGAACAAATTGTCTTCTGGGCCTTATAGCTTTTTCTTTGGTAATGTTACAATAAAATAACACCAGAGCAATATGGTAGAGATTTTTTAATATAATGATTTTCGCAACAAATTTGTTTAATATCATTAATTTCTCTGGATTTTATAGCGCTACCAAGTTGACTGGGTTCTTGAATACTCGCTATCTTGAAATAAAGGGTGCAAAGGGTTTTCGTAGCAAATTAAATTGTCTACAAATTCATCTGTATTACTTTTTGTGGTAAAATTGAAAATAAAAAAGTTATTAACAAAAAGAACTAAAAATTTTTGAACAAATTTTCTTTTTGGCCTTAACTTTTTTCCTAGTCATTTTACAATAAAACGATGTCAAAGCAATATTATAGAGAGTTTTGCAACGAATCATTTTTACTAGAAATTTGTATATTTCATTATTTTTTCTTGGTTTTACATCGCTCCGAATTTGACCGGGTTCTTGATTACTTGTAAAAATACAATAAAAATGAACTGTTAGACTTAGTTTTATACATATATATATATACATATATATATATATATATATATATTATATATATATATATATATTATTCATACCATTTTAATATTCCTTTATTATTGTCAATTTATTATCGATCCATTCTGCCTCCACAAAACTTACCCCGTCTTCGTGAGCTTGCGTCAGACGAAATAGCAACAATGGACAAAAATAGAATTTAATAAGAGATAACAGATACAGTCATCATCTGTTCTGCGATTGCTGCATTCCAAGCCTATGATTATGTGACTGTCGTAGCAGAGGACATTGACATTCTTGTCTTGCTCATGGCATTAGTAAGGGTGCAGTCCAATGGTGGTGTGTCCAAAGTATCCAATTGTTTTAAAACCTTCAACAGAAAGTCGCATCAATTATACTGTTTTGCAGATGATTCGCTGTTTCTCTATGCCTTTTCATGATGCGACACAATATTAGTAGCTTACAATCGAGAATGGAATAAGTCGATTATAATTCCTATACACAAAAAGGGAGATAGAACTGAATGCGCAAACTATAGAGGAATGTCCTTATTAGAGGTAATTTATAAAATACTCGCCATACTAATTAAAAAACGATTATAAATATATATATATATATATATATATATATATATATATATATATACATCATCAATCAATATATATATATATCATCAATCAAGTTTTACTATTTTTACAACAAATTTTAAAAATTTTATGATGTATTATGTCCATAATTGTATATTTTAATGTGTGTATAAATGTTGAGTGTAAATGCTTACAAAAATAATCTCAACGACTATGTCTTGAAAAAGGAATAAAACCATTCCGAAAGCTCGACAAAAAGTCAAAAGAGTGTTTTTTTAACATCCCGGCCAAGATTCTGACTGCAACCCTAATAAACTGTGTTATTTGTTTATATCGACAGTCACTAATATCCAATATTTCTTGTATATATATATATATATATATATATATATATATATATATTATATATATATATATATATATATTTATATATATATATATATATATATATATATATTTATATATATATATATATATTAAATATATATATATATATTTATATAATATATATAGAAGAATCTAGGAGAATACCAGGGAGGATTTCGGAAAGGAAGATCAACAACCGATCAAATTTTTATGCTAAAACAAATCCTGATCAATTGCTATGAATACAACATTTCAGCACAAGTACTTTTCATTGATTACAAAGCTGCCTACGATACAATAGACAGAAACAAGTTAATAGAAACACTAAAAGAATTCCAAGTGCCAGAAAAAATAATAAGATTGGTAAAAATGACAATTAGACAAACCATTTGTGCTGTGAAATGCAACGGTACAGTCTCAGAAGAATTCGAAGTGAAAAAAGGTGTTCGCCAAGGAGACCCGTTGTCTACATTGCTATTCAATATAGTTCTAGAAAAAATTGTAAGGGTTAGTGGGATAAATAGGTCCGGAACTATTTTATACAAGGAGCACCAATGCTTAGCATACGCTGATGATGTGGTTCTCATTGCAAGAAATGGAAAAGAACTATCAAATATAACAAAAAGACTGATTCGGGAAAGCTCTAAAATGGGACTGAAAGTTAATATTAATAAATCGAAGTACATGGAAATCTCGAGCAAAAAAGGAATAAATACCAGGGGATCCTTTAAATTGGAGGTAAGGATGGATCAGCTGTAGAATTCGAGAAGGTGGATGAATATATGTACTGTCTGAGATACTGACCAATGAGCAACAGTGTGCTGGAGCCATGAGCAAAATAATTAAGGCCAAAGATATATCTCGTAATACAAAAATAAGAGTATACAAAACTATAATTAGACCCACAATGCTATACGCTGCCGAGACATGGACTATGAACAAAACCATACAGAATACATTGGAAGCATGGGAAAGAAAGATACTTCGCAGAATATTTGGTGGAAAATTAGTAGAGGAGAATGGAGAAGACGAACTAATGCAGAAGTGTATCATTTGTATGCTAACCCTACAATAACAAAAGTGGTGAAAAAACGTAGACTAGAATGGCTCGGTCATCTAGAAAGAATGCAAGGTAATAGACTAGTCAAGAATATTGCTTGGAGAGTACCTGAGGGCAAAAAAGAGAGGAAGACCAAGAAAGAAATGGAGAGATATAGTGATGGAAGATGTCAGAGAGATGGGCATCAGAGATTGGAAGCGGTTAGCTAAGAATAGAAAACGATGGAAATTATCCATCCAGCAATGGCCTAAAAGGCCTGTTAACGCTGTACATACATACATATGGTGGAAATAAAGATAATTCTCTAACATCGTCAGATACAAATGATTTGTCACAACAGTGACCATAATTTCATTTAACTGATTATCGCTTCCGCCAACACAAAATAAAGCTTGTTTCCGCAATGTTGGAGTTTATCACCAGAAAATACTGCGATCCTGAAGATTAAGGCTTTAAAAGTATGAAAAAATTTGGATACCAATCAAAACTTTTAAAACTCCAGCACCCCGAACTTCTGAAATTAATTTTCTGCAGATGCAAGGGAAACTGTTCAAATATGTGAGTTTGCCGACAAGTAGGCCTCAAATGCTTTACAGTGTGCCTTATTGTTTTGGTGAAACCTTCAGTGACATCATGGACATATTTAAATTAACCGAGAAATTCGAAGAATTCGAAGATGAACTAGCCACAATGACACCAATTCTAACTTTCGTTCTTTTGTAAACATTCACCTTCGATGCTGAATTAGATCCTGAATCGTAGCCTGCACCATCAGAAAAAAAATGAAAAAATAATAGCTGGAAAACAATTTTTTAAATATGTATATAATTATGCTCAATATTATCTCGCCTGGAAATTGTTAGTGGATTAGGTCATATAGGAATATCACTTAAAAAACGCGCCTTCAGACTTTACTTCATAGTGGTTACCATGGAAATGTTAACAAAATAATAGATTATATAAATAAAAAATATATAATAAAAATTAAGCCTAGTGGCTTCGTTATAGTATTCTTATAAATATTCAAGAGCCCGGTCAACTTGGGAGTGGTGTAAAACCCAGAGGAGTTAATGAAATTAAACACTTTTTTATTGCAAATTATTCTTTAGAAAACCCAATATAATATTGATCTAATCTTTCTTCCCTTAATCGACTTTCCCTTACTATATGTCCCAGACAAGACATTTTTCGATGTTTAACAGTCTTTAGCAATTCTCTATCTTTGTTGACGCTCCTTAGTACTGCTTCATTAGTTTTCCTTGCTGTCTAAGGTAACTTCAGCATTCGTCTATGAACCCACATTTCCAATGCTTCAATTTTGTTCATGATCAATACTTTTAGCGTCCACACTTCTGCACTATACAAAAGTATGGACCAAACATAGCATTTAATCATTCTTTGTTTTAGTTCTAAACTGAAATGATTATTGCAAAAATGACTTATTTTTCATAAAATTAGTTGTAGTCATTGCTATTCTACGATTTATTTCTATGTCTGGATCTAGTTGGTCCGTTATCACAGTTCCCAAATATGTCATTTTGTGAACTTTCCCAACTTGGACTCCGTTTAATTGAAGCTTTGCATCAGGATGTGGGTCACGACTAAACATTAAAAATTTGGTTTTGTTTGAGTTTATTTTAATGCCCATTTCCTCTCCTACCTCGTGAATATGATCAAGCAGAATTTGGAGACCTTCAATATTATCTGACAGAATTACTGTATCGTCTGCATATCTAATCACATTAAGTAGTTCTCCGTTGATTTTTATTCCATATGGTTGTCTCTCAAGTGCCTTTTAAATAACTGGTCCGAGTAAACATTGAACAATGTTGGCGACAAAATGCAACCTTATCTGATTCCTCGTTGTATGGAGATTTCATCGGTGTCGTTATCTCCAATTTTTATGATAGTAGTTTGATTCCAGTACAAATTTTTAATGACACGAATATCCTTGTCATCTATTCCGATATTTTTCAGTATATGCATTAATTTTACATGCTGTACTTTATCGAATGCCTTTTCGAAGTCCACGAAACATGCAAATACATCTTTGATTTGGTCACAACATTTTTGTAACAGGATGTTAAGCGCAAAAGTGCCTTCCTGGTTCCTATAGCATTTCTAAAACCAAATTGGGTATCTTTGAGATCTTCTGCTTGATATTGATCTAATATCATTTAAAAATAACCAGAAAAAAATTTATTACGACCAAAAGAAAATTTGTTTTATTGTGAAACAAATTTTTAGTCGTTTTAGTTTAAACTTGTTTATTTTGCATTTTACGATTAAAAGTAATATAAATAAAGATGTAGAAATACAAATAAAGTTGTAATTTACGAGATACAATGCGAAAATCCTCCACCCCCTTTTTTCCAAAATGACGGCCGGAGAACAAGGTTGGCGACGTCACAAACTTGATCTTAAGCTTATACAAAACACTCCCACACATCAAAAAGTAAAATTGCGTCCTTTCAAAAATGTAATCCGAATGTAACTTTTCAATGGATGGACTATACTTGTTATGTGAAATGTGGGTTATGCATTAAGGAGAGCAGACAATATTTAGTAAAAACTGTTCAGGGATGCTCTCAATTCAATATGTAAGAAGTAAACAAAAACTAATCGCTTACAAGTAGTTGGTACACATAACAATAGTAGCCAAAGGTAACCAGAGACTAAGACAAATTAGGTCTTACAAAACAGAACTCCTACGAGACTACATACTTAATGATAGAACATAAGATATAGAATATAAACCACATAAAGATATACTGACGACATATGCATATAAACATAAGATATGCTGACGACACCGTCCTTCTGTCAGGAACACTAGAAGAACTGCAACACCTTGCTGAACAACTAAATTTATATTGTAACGATTATGAACTTAAAATAAATTTGAAGAAAACCAAGTTCATGGTATTTACAAAACCACAAAACATCAAAGTTAAGCTAGTACTAGATAATACAGAAATTGAACAAATATCTTTGTACAAATACCTTGGAGCATGGATCACAGAAGATACTGATCAGATAAAAGAAATAAGATATATATATATATATATATATATATATATATATATATATATATATATATATATATATATATAATCGGTTTAAAACGTCCTCCGACGTCTTCCGATGCCCAATCTCCATGCATCTCTATCTTCCCAAAGATCTTCGTCTAAACCTCTCTCTCGGATCTCTCTGTCTATTCCTTCTCTCCAGCTCTTTCTGGGTCGGCCTCTTTTTCTCTTTCCATGTGGTGACCAATCTATAATCTGTTTGGGCAGACGATGTTCTGGCATTCTCTGCACATGTCCATACCACTTTAGTTGTTGTACTCTTATATCTTCGACAATCGTATGTGTGACTCCCATAACCTCTCGTATACGTTCGTTATTAATTCTTTCGAGTTTTGATTTTCCTGCGGCCCGTCTCCAGTAGTCCATCTCCGTGGCTTGTAGTGTTCTTTCAGTAGTTGCCTTTAACTGCCACACGTCACTTCCATACATTACTATGCTCTTTATAATAGTGTTGTATATTCGATGTTTATTTTTTTTGGATATATGTTGATCCCAGATAATACTATTTAGTTGAGATATGGCCCTTCTACCCTGAGTGTTTCGTTTTTTTATAGCCTGATCTGATTTGCCGTCGTCTGTGATTTCTACTCCTAAATAGGAATATTTATTGTTGTACTTAATGTGTTGTCCGTCGTTTAAAACTAGATTTTGTTCTTTACCACCGATGTTCATGTACATTGTTTTATCTATGTTGACTTCTAATCCCCATTTTTTGTATTCTTCGATTAATTTTCGAGTCATGTATTCTAGGTCGTCATATTCGTTAGCAATCACAATTTGATCATCAGCAAAACATAGAGTGTACAGGTTGTTATTGTTTAATTGTATACCCATGCCGCTGCATTTCCGCTTCCAGAGTTTTAATGCTTGTTCCAGATATATTTTGAAAAGTGTCGGCGCTAAGCAGCATCCCTGCTTCAGTCCTTTGTCTACTACAAAACCTTTGGAAACATTCGTTCCTATTTTAACTTTGGCGTTGGCGTTCTCATATAGTTTTTCCACTGCTGTTATGAGATTTGAGTTGATGTTCGTTTGTCTGAGAGTGTTCCATAACTTATTTTGAGGGATGCTATCGTAGGCCTTTTTTAGATCAACAAACAAAAAGTGGACTTCTTGATCTACAGCAACCTTTTTTTCTATAAGTTGGGTGATACAAAAAAGGTGGTCTATGGTCGATCTACCAGCTCTAAAACCCGCCTGTTCTTCTGCCTCCATATCAGTGTATTCTCTTTCTATTCTATTTTTGATCATTTTCCCATAGATTTTACTAATGGTACTAGTAACTGCTATTCCACGGTAATTGTCGCAATTTTGTTTGTTTCCCTTTTTATGTACAGTTGAAATGGTTGAGGTTTTAAATTCGGCTGGAACCTCTACTTTGTTTATGCAGTTTTGAAAGAGTATTGTCAAATGCTCATATAGTTTTTCAGTTCCATATTTTATCAGTTCTGAGGGTATATTGCCAGGTCCGGGCGCTTTTTTGTTTTTGAGTGAAATACAGATATCCCTTACTTCCTTTTTCGTGATTCTTATAGGAGATGCTTCAACGCGTATGTTTTGGTTACTTTCTTTTATTTTGAATTCCATTCGGTCTTCTTGTAACAGTTTACTGAAGTACATGTCCCATGTTTCTAACGAAATTGGTGAGATTAAATCTTTTTTCTTGTCGTTGGTCCTAAGAGATTTAATAAGTTTCCAGCTTTCTGTACTTCTAGTTCTAGTTAGAAATAAGATGCCGCATTGAAATTGCACGGTTAACTTTTAATAGAATGAGAAAACTTTTTTGTAATCGCGATATCAATATATCGCTCCGGATAAGAATGCTTCGATGTTATATTTTCTCTACCCTTTTGTATGGGTTGGAGCTTGGACACGTAAAAAATCCAACATTAAAAACCTAAAAGCATTCGAAATGTGGTGTTACCAACGTATTTTGAAAATATCATGGATGGATCGCAAAACAAACGAACAAGTTCTCGAACAACTAGGAAAACAATGCGAAGTTTTAAATTCCATAAAAATCAGAAAATTGGAATACTTGGGGCACATCATGAGAGGTGAAAAATACGAACTACTAAGGAATATAATGCAGGGTAAAATCAAAGGCAGAAGAAGCGTAGGAAGACGTAAAATCTCGTGGCTACGCAATCTCCGTGAATGGTTTGGATGCAGTTCAATTGAACTATTCAGGCGCGTAACCAACAAAATTATAATTGCCAGAATGATTTCCAATCTCCGATAGGAGCGGAACTTGAAGAAGAATAAACCACATGAACCGATGTTCTCAAAGATATACTCATTAAACCTATAATAAGCAGCCCAAAATAGACACAATGAGAGAATAAGAAACAACTGAGTTTATCAGCGAACGCTATTGGCTGAATAATAATTATATTTATTTCTAACCCTTTACTGATAATTATACGTCCACTTATACTTCATTACCGTTAACCTTGTACATGTTTTTGTTTGATTAACTGCATGGGTGTTGGTGTTACTAATTCCAGGAAGCTCCACGGCCAGCTCCACCACCGCCGATACACACAGAATTCGACGTTGAAGATCCGACCGAAGAAGGAGAAGATTACGAGGAAGTCGAAGGGGAGGAATACGACGATTACGCAGAAATCAACCAAGCTCTGCCGACTGACACTTAATTTCACCTACTAACCTCTATTTTTGATTCATTTGATCCTTGGGTAGGTATGTAGGATTTAATATAACCCTTATGTTGTTATTTAGAGTAAAGTTAATATTCATTGTTCATTATTCACACTTGTTTATATATCTGTGCTCTGTGCGTAAAGAGAGTTAAGTCCTAAAACACTGTTTTGAGATAAATGCGTTTCAAGTTTGCAATAATCTGTTCGAGTTATACTTTTGGAGTTTTTATAAGAATGTATCCCTCAAAATTATTTTAAATATTTTTGATCAACTAAATATTTATTTCTCTCAATAACATAATATCACACAATTTTTATAATAATAAAAAAAATAATAAACTTTTTCTTACATGGACTTAACACAATTTGCACAGATACATAATTAACACGCTTAATGCATAACACAAACTATTATAAAAAGCATAAAAAATAATATTGTAATAATAATAATGGGATTCTTGAGACCAAAGTTTTAATAAATATTAATACAAGAACATTTAGCAAGAAAAAAAACGTCTGTTTATTCATTTAAGTGATACTATACCAAGTAAGCTCTGCTTAATAACAAAAATTAAATATCAAAAATACAAACAGTAAATTTCAATTTACTGTTTGTATTTTGAGAACGATTTCCGAAGTGGAAATTGAAACGTCAATAAACGTATTTTTAATCTTTAATTTGTGGCTTATTCCCAGTTTAATAGTAATTAATTTACAATGCCACAATAAAATAGCTTCAGAACAATAGTATTGATTGTTTTTCATTAGTGAAAAAATGAATATCTCAGTTTAGGAATGGAATTGGACTTGACACATTATACACACATGTAGATATCATATTCTAACATGCAGTTATTGCATTGACTAATTTCGACCATTTTTGGACTTAACTTGCTTTACACACAGAAAACAGATATTATTCATTGTTAAATGATAGTTTTTCACTTGCATGTATTTATTATTCACTTATACTCCGTTACTATCTTCATTTTTAATTATTCAGTGGTGATCAATTATTCACTGCTCATTTCATAATTCACTGGTTGTTGATTTTCTGTATAAAAAAGTTCATTAATTATTATTGAGTGTTTAGTCACTATTAACTGGTCTTACTACTATAGCTTTTACTATTTGTTTACACTTTACATATAATTTGTCATTGTTGTTTTTCTATTTGGACGCAACCCCTATTGATCATATTCTAGTATTAACAACTCACTATTTACAAATGATTTTTCTCTTATCGGTATTTAATATTAACAAGTTATTATTCATTGTTCTGCATAATTATTCACTATTAACATGAATTCCTAAATAATTGTTTAACTTTAACACAGCGGGTCTTTCTCTCTCTCTCATAGCGCCTAAATCTAACTCTCTCTTTCTCTCTTGTCATTACTCCATTACTGAGGATCGTGATTTCTTCCAATATTCCTAACAATTTTTCTCCATTGGTCTCTATTTTCAGCTGCTCTGAGAGCTTCGCATAATGAGTTTCCAGCTAAATTCTTAATTTAGTCGGACCATCTAGTTGGTGATCGTCCTCTTGATCTTCCCCTCGGAACGTTTCCAGAAACATTAATCTCTCCAAACTATCGTCACCTGCGAATAGGTGACCGAAAAATTACAGAATACGTTGCAGACATATTGTGAGCAGACTTTTTTTAATCTCGAGTTAGTTTAGAATGGAAACGTTTGTCCTATGAGCTGTTCAAAGTATGCGCAGCATTCTTCTTCAGCACCGCATCTCAAAGGCATCAATTTTTTAGCGCTCGCGTCCGCGAAGAGTCCAAGTCTTAGCCCTGTATAGAAATATTAAGAATACAAGGACATCATCGTAATATTTTGAGACATAGATCTGTCTTTCCAAACTTTGGTTAGATGACTCATTGCATTTTTTGCCACATCAATACGTCTCCGAACTTCTGCTTCACAGTTACCATCGTTAGTTAAACTAGACCTTCTTCTTAAAGTTCCATCTCCTATCGGAGATTGGATATCATAACGGCTATGGTCACTTTGTTGGCTGCTGCTCTGAAAAGTTGTAGTGAACTACAGTTAAACCATTCTCTAAGGTTCCTCAGCCAGGAGATGCGTCTTCTTCCTATGCTTCTTCTTCCTTGGATCCTTCCTTGCATAATAATTCTCAGCAGCTCATATTTTTCTCCTCTGGTTATGTGACCCAAATACTCTAGTTTTCTTCTTTTTATGCTGTTCATAATTTCTAACTCCTTATTTAGACGTCGTAGTACCTCAGCATTGGTAATCCTTTGAACCCACTGAATTTTTAATATTCTTCTGTAACACCACATTTCGAACGCTTCTATTTTTCTTATGTGTTGTTTCTTCAATGTCCAAGCTTCCATTCCGTATAGTAAGATAGAAAATATGTAACATCTTAGAGCCCTCAATCTGAGATGCAACTGAAGGTCTCTGTTGGTAAGCATTGTCTTCATTTTCACAAATGCTTGCCTTGCAGTTTCAATTCGGACTTTGATTTCTCTGCTTTGGTCATTTTTGTCATCAACCCAGGTTCCCAGATATTTGTATGTCTCTACTTTTTCTATTTGGGTTTGCTCTATCATTAATCTTTCATTTCCATGTTGCGTTTTTGAGACAATCATAAATTTAGTTTTTCTCTTATTTATTTTTAGTCCGTATCTAATGCAATAATCGTTAATTCTATTTACCAATTCTTGTAGCGATTCCAGGGTGTCTGCCATTATAACGGTGTCATCAGCGAATCTTATGTTATTTACTATTCTTCCGTTTACAGAGATTCCATCACCCAGATCCGCTATCGCTTCCTGGAATATGGCTTCACTGTACACGTTAAACAGTAATGGTGACAGAACACAGCCCTGTCTTACTCCTCTCTTTATATCTATATTTTCGGACTTTTGTTCTTCTATCTTTATATTGGCCTTTTGATTCCAATACAGATTGATAATGATTCGTAAGTCTCGTCTGTCTATATCTTTGTTTCTCAGTACTTCTATTAGTTTTTCATGTCGGACCCTGTCGAATGCCTTCTCGAAGTCGATGAAACAGGAATAAATATCTAGGTTCATATCTAAGCATCTTTGAGAGAGGACATTAAAAGCAAACAATGCCTCTCTCGTTCCCAGTCCCTTGCGGAACCCAAACTGAGTATCATCCATATCCTCTTCTAGTTTTCTATATAATCTTCCATGAATCACCTTTAGAAATATTTTGAGGGTATGGCTTATTAGTGATATTGTCCTATAGTCTGAACAATCTTTGGCATATACTGTTTTTGGTATTGCTACAAAGGTGGACACCAACCATTCCTGTGGGATTTTTCCAGTTTTATATACTTCATTAAATAGGTCCAGAAGTACAGGTAGAGTTTCATCGTCTAGACATTTCAGTAGTTCCGCAGGTATTTCGTCTGGACCTACAGTTTTTCCGTTTTTTGCGTTTCGTATTGCTTGTTCGATTTCCTCTATTATGATCTCTGGCCCCGTTTCGCTGTCGATTTCTTCCGGTTCTTGTCGATTATCCTCAAACAGATCTGTTATGTATGTCTTCCATTTTTTTAATTTCTCTTTAATTTCTATAATGATTTTTCCATTTGCGTCTTTCAGAAGGGCATCTTTCTTTTTTCTCAGTGTATTTGTCATTTCCTTTATTTTCTTATGCATGTTAAAGCTATCATACTGTTTAGCATATGCCTCTATTTCACTGCATTGATTAGCAAGCCAGGAGGATTTGGCCTCTTTTATTTTCTTTCCTATCAATCTCTGTAGTTCCTTGTATTTTGCCTTACTCCTGCCTTTATGTTTCCTTCTTTCCTCCATTAGATCTAAGATTTCTGAAGTCATCCATCTCTGTTTTTTTCTTATTTTTGTCTGCAGTAGCTTTTCTCCTGCCTTTATTAAAGTTTCCTGTACCATGTTCCATTTGTCATTAACATCTGTTGTTTTTATCACGTCTTGTTTGATTTTCTTTAAGTTATCATTTATTTCTTGTTTTAAGCTCTGACGTATAGGTTCTTCTTTTATCTTTGAGACATCAAACCGTGGTATATTTGTTTGTTTTTGGATCTTCTTCAATTTTATCTGCATTACGCCTACTAATGGATTATGGTCTGAATTTATGTCAGCTCCGGGGTATGTTCTCAGAGACTTTATAGCGTTTTTATATCTAGATTTTATTAAAATGTAATCTATCTGGTTTCGAACAATGTTATCTTCTGAATCCGCAGGTGATTTCCAAGTATAAAGTCTTCTTTTAGGTAATTTAAAATTTGTATTCATTATTACCATCTCCTCGCTTTGGCAGAATTCGACAAGTCTGGATCAGAGATAGACAAAACTGTCCACTATCTGATATTCCTGTAACATGTTAGTCAGTCGAATAGTGTTGATTTTGTTGATTTCGTACTCAGCTCTTCGCAGGAGATTAAACATTTCTTGCTTATTTGCTGCTATAAGTGTAATGTCATCAGCAAATCGTAAATTGGAGATTTTCCTACCAACCACTGTTACTCCACCGGCCCATCCATCTAAAGCCATCCTCATGACATGTTCATCATAAATGTTGAATAAGTCAGGTGACAACACGCATCCTTGTCTAACACCTCTCTCGGTCTTGAATTTGTTTGAGAACTTCTGATCTAGTCGTACTGTTGCTATACTGGACTGGTACAGATTTTTAATAGTGTGTCACCAGGCGCATTAGTGTGCTCATTTCTATTAAAATGGACCACAGATTTATCCAGCTTACACAATCAATTTGGTAGTCAACGAAGCATATAACCATAGGTACTTGAAATTCTCTAGACTTTCTCTCTCTCTCGATGAGTTGTCTTAGGTCTGAAATTCTCTCTCGTGAGTTGTCTTAGGTTCGGATTTATTTGCGTGTACCTTTAGCATTTACAAACCCGCTTGATCCTGAGGTATTTGGTAATGTATATAGGTTTTTAATATGTTTTTGATGATATGTAGTAGTTCCTTTTTTGTGTAGCGGGATATGAATAGAGGTACATCAATCAGATGGCCATTTTCCTGAATTCCAAACAGCGACACAGATAAACTGGATGATGTGTAATCCTGTGTTACCTAGTAACTGTAGTATTTCACCTGGTAATGAATCAATGCCTGGGGATTTATTTCTCTTTAGCGATTTAATTGCATCTTTGACTTCAGCGAGTAAGAGAGTAGGTCTATGTATTCTTCTAGCAGTGGCTTCTTCCAAACTATGCTTCCAACATCTCCAGTTCTGCTCTGCTGTTCTCCAAGTTCTCAGGTCTAGGAAATTTCGTTCATTAGCTACGACTTCATCCTCATACTTTTTCTGTGATCGTCTATTGGTCTCGCATCATGCATTTCCATATCTAGGGTACTTTTCGCCAATCTATTGGTCTCCATTCTCACTACAAGACCAACCTATCGAAGTATCCGAAGTTGAGCGGATTTTTAGGATCGGTGCTAAAGAGATGGTAGAATTCATGGTTACACCTAGATCTCCATATTCCATTTTCGTTAATAGGTCCAAATATCTTCCTTAGGATTTTTCTTTTAATAAGGTTTTTTACCCTTGCCATATTTTTTTGAATTTTTGGTTCTTCTGTTCCATCTGTGCTTAATTTAACTCCCAAATATATAAAACTTTCTGCTGTTTCAATATCGTTCCTAAGTCAACTGTAAGTCCATTTCACCTAGCTCTTGCCTGTGTTAGCTTTTTCGTCTATTGACCATTTATTTCTAGTCCGGTGACTTTTATCTCTGTGTTTAATTGTGAATATATTGCTGCTGCCTCTTCTATTTTGCGAGACATAATGCTAATGTCATCGGCATAGGCGGCAATCTGTATTTATTTATTTGTTAGAAGATTAGCTTTTCCTGTATTCAATTGACCTATCACATATTCGAGAGAAGGGTGAACAGTGTCGGTGTTTGCTTTAGTCTTTTGACTATTGGAAAAATCTAAGTGATCTCATTTTCTATGCTGACATTTACTGTTGACGAGTGTATTGTTGCTTTTACTAGTCTAGTGTATTTTTGGGGAAGCTAAAGCTGTGCAATATGTGATATAACTTGTGTCTATGATTGAGTCGTAGGCCTGTTTGAAATCTATGAATATGTTGTGGACGTTAAATGATTTGTTTATACCAAAGTTTATTCATAATATTTCGTTATATTTAAGTCTATTTCCTTTGTATATTTTTTTAGTATTTAAGTTTCAAACATATTTTTAATGTGTTGCCAAATAATAACCATCTGTTTTGTTTTTATGTTTTAGATCAGACATTAGCGCCCCTTCAGAACTGTCTAGTACTTATAGTGCAAAGTGACCATGTACATAGTGTTCCCACAGACAGTTGTTTTTATAATGAAGCTTTGATCAATGTTTCGGCAGTAAATTTTTTTGTACTACATTATCAACTTTTGGGTGTTTTAAAAAGTTTAAAATAAAGCATGTTAATTACTTGGACCTGTTAAAGCTTATTAAGAAGTTAAAATGAACAAAATGGAGTACTATATTACTAGAACAGAATGATAATTTATCATTTTTTTTAACTTTTAGTAACTTTGGCGTGGTCCTTCTGAGTTAGAACTATTGTCCATATATTTATGAAAGTTTTGTAAATATATAAGTTACGTTGTAGGTCCAATAGTCAATATTTTGTAATGGTTTCTTATATTTGTATCTTTTGGAATATTATTTACTAAAATTTTCTTCTAATCCACATAATATTGTAAGCCAGAATTCCTGTTGTACATTTTTTTTTCATTAAAGCCTATTTATAGTGTTGTTTTGTTATTATTTAGTACCTATATAATTTACACCTTAAAAGGGTATTGGGCGACATTGAACTGTATTATTTATTTTGTACCAGAGCTATATCTGTTATCACTAAGTCAACAATTGTCACTACTTTTCTTAATTTTTCTTTGTGATTTTTGGGAATTTATTAAGTATAGAAGTAATGTAATCAAAAATTTACACTTTTTAACTTAAGGTATATGTACAGAAATCAATTTAAATTAGTTAATTAAATATAATTTTGAGCAAATTTACAATGGGAGCCTCAAACGCCAAGGAGATAATGAAGGCACTCAGATATGAAATCACCAGATTTCCGCAATATATTACAACCTGCAACAAAATAAAATATTAATTTTGTACATTTATATTTATTATTTTCTAGAACTAAACCGTAAGAATCAATATTCAGTACTTTAATCCAAGAAGTTAATTTCCTGTGATAGGTTGTATACTATATAACACAAGTTATTAAAAAATCCTTTATAAAAGATATATTTATTTAAAAGAACCCTTTTGGGTTAAATCACAGCACGTTTCGGAATGAATATTCCATCTTCAGTGCTGCTACTAGGAATGCATGTTTAAAGCCACTAAATATATGGGTGAAAACCCTTTTAATGTTATTTAGTTGGTATTAGAAAACAAGGTTGCTAATAATTTTATAGGATGTTAAAGTTCTAAGTAGATTCACTTCATGGCAACGTAAAATTCCAACGAGGGTTACTGGTCCGGAAGCGTAGTCTCTAAATGGACCTTAGATAGCAACTAACCATATCACTTTATACCAATTAAATAAATTTTTTTCACATTTTATAAAAGGTATATATAAAATCCCAAACGGCTATAAATTCATTACTAGAAGTTTTGGAATATTAATTATATATATTTAAGTATACATATATTAGCAATAAATATATGTGTCAAAACATTTATAAAGCTGTACAATTTTCTAGTTGTTTGTACATTCTATTACAATAATAAAAATGAAATAGTATTTTATAAGTGTTATATTTTAGCATATATCTAGTAGCTAGAAAGGTAGTAGATATTTTATAAAATATACAATTATATAAATACTTTTTTAGAATATTATCATTTACAAAATAATTATAATGTCTAATATATCTACAAAATTCTCAATTTTTATATAAATAGTAATAGCAAACAAACATACTCTAGAAAAAATTGTACAAGCTTCTCATAGAGTATTTTTGAACTCTCGATGATCTAACTTACCGCCATGGCTTGATGCAAGTGAAGAGATCCATCTAAATGGAAACTGGTAAGGCACATTAATACAGGATGGACTAGATAAGCACAATAGGTGAGTCTACTTAAGGGCAAGAACAGCTTACAGCTCAAAATAGAGTTGAAAGGTCCTCCGTATCCGCTGCAACAAGCTATAGTTATCCAAGCTATCGATAGGCCCCAAGCTGAATGACCCAAAGCTGCCTAGAAAATTTATAGGTAAGTAAAACAAAAATTTTAGGAAGGAAAGAAGGGAAGGATGGAGGGAAATCGTGAAAAAACTGTAAAGGCCTGATGGTGTCACCACATCCCAAAACGGATTAGGACTGAGGAGGAGGAAAACAAAAATTGTTCAGTACTATCGTAAAAAATGAAAATTTACTTACATAGAAAGCAGATGTTGGTACCGCTAATCCCTCTCTGCCCAATCCATATACCAAACACCCCAGACATCCCAACGACAATATCCATCCTATGGTAACAACTATTGCGGGAAACTTCTGCTTGCAATCAACCTTAAAAATAAAAACATAGTACAAATAAAAATCCGGAACAGTATCTATTGCCTTAATATTATTTCCTGGACTTAAATTATTCACGTGATAACTTATTTTTAATATTATGCGAATACCTTAAACAAATAGTATCCCACCACCATTCCTATAAGATATGGACCTATTCTTAACCATGGCTTGTCATAAAGTTGGTCAAAAAGAGCGAAAGGCTCTTCTACTCTCGCTACGTAGTTCCATTTCATGGCGATGATGAAGGTTGTAATCCAGGAAGCCGTCATAAGTAAGGCGATAGCCACGCCTGCCAATTTTACGTAGCTATTTTTGCTGAAAATAAACAAATTGATATGTATAAGTACCGAAATTAAACCGACTCTAAAAGATGACTCCGAAGAGTGCGCCGAAAGCTCAATGCGACCTAAACCGACGTTTAATTTGAGTTTTTTAATCATACTAATTTTAGTAATCATTTTCATTTGCCAAGGAAATTTATACGTTTAAATATACTAATATATCGAAGATTTCTTCAATTTTTTTGATAGCATTGTATTGCCATATAACGTTCGATTTTATGAGAGTGCTATGTAGGGGAGAGGCTTGTACATTGGGCAAAAAAAATGTCTGAACGCCTACAATTTGCCTAAGATACAATTCGTATTATACCTTGGGCTAGCAAAGGTTGTACCTTGGGCCACTGATAATAGTACATTGTTTACCAGGTAGGAAAAGCTTAACATTCCTGGACGACTGTGAAGATTGCTAAGTCGAGGCGCAAGCCGAGACTTAGCAACACAGAGTCCAGGAATGTGGCTTTTCCTACGAGGTAAACATACAATTTTTCCGCAAATCGTTTAAAATTCGACAGATATTGATTGATTTAAAAAAAAACGCGATAATTTTATTCCCAAATAAATGGTGCTTTGAAATTCCTAATAAAATTACTTGGGTTACTATGGAAACGTATTGAGGTTGAATTGTCAAACTTGACGCTTATAAATTTAATTGCTGGTGTTCTCGAAAGTAAAATGATAAGTGATGATGAAATTTCCATTCCTGGGACTCCTCCAGAGCTGGTTGAGGCAGTGAATACTGCTTCATTAGAATTATTGCCAAAGAAATCAAGAGAAAAGTACGAAAATGCATACAGACGTTTTATGGATTATCGCATGAGTAAAAATACGAGTTCTTTCTCAGAAAATGTTGTAATGGCATACTTCCTAGACCTTTGTTTAAAGATGAAATCTTCAACATTATGGGCCAATTATTCAATGCTGAAGTCAACCCTTGCACTTAAACACAATGTAGATATATCTACATACTCAAAACTTCGTTCTTTATTGAAACGGCAAGCTCAAGGTTATAGGGCAAAGAAATCTAAGATTTTAACGAAGGAAGAAATTGAAAAATTTATCCAGGAAGCTCCAGATAAAGAAAATTTAATGATTAAGGTAATTTACAAGGTTTTAATTTCTATTTAGATTATAGCTTTATTTATTTTTTAGGTGGCTGTAATATTTGGTATTTCTGGGGCCTGTAGAATGGATGAGTTAGTCCGAATGACTGTACACGATATAGAAGACTTAGAATCTAAGCTTTTAATCAGCATACCTGATTCGAAAACCAACAAACCAAGATCATTTGTAATTAATCAGATCTACTTGAATGTTTATCGAAAGTATGTTTCGTTAAGACCAGAAAATATGAACAGTGACCGATTTTTCTTTAAATATCAAAGCGGAAAGGGTTGTAGACAAGTGGTAGGAATTCATCAATTTAGAAAAATGCCCAAAATAATTGCTACTTATTTGAACTTGGTAAATCCGACAGAATATACTGGTCACTGCTTTCGTCGGTCTTCTGCAACAATATTGGTTGACTCTGGTGCCGACATAACTAGTTTAAAGAGGCATGGCGGATGGAAGTCATCAAACGTTGCTGAAGGATATATCGAAGAATCGCTTAACAATAAGGTTGAGGTGGCAAATAAAATTTTCACAGTACAAAATATTCAACAAAATGACACTTCCACCCTGCATGTTGTCCAAAATGTTTCTCATAGTTCTAAGAGTGTTCCTCCAATGTTCAATAATTGTACTAACTGTCAAATTACTGTAAATATAACAAATTGATCTTAAAAATGTATTCAGCAATGACTTGATGTTTTCAAAATATAAATTAATTCCTTATAAGCAATGTGTTTTCTATCATTTATGTAGAACACTAACAACTGTACGGAAATATCATTTCCTTACAGTAAGGAAGTCCTGACTTTTTCTTCAAGAAATTTTGACAGGAATGTCAAAATTTCCTGGCGATTTGCGGAAAACATAATTATCAAAACTTTTATTTTAATAATTAACAGACACATTTAGAGTTACATAGGAACAAAATCCTTTTAATATCTTTTTTATTAAGTTTTGTTTAGAATAAGGACCATTTTAAGCAAAGTGAGTTATCAATAATATAAAGCAATGATTTATTATTATTAAACATAAGATCAAACAATTTAAATAACGTAAACTTTACTCAACCAAATAATTTTCAAAATTTAAGTTAAAAGCATAAATATTCTGTTGACGTTTTGAGAATCCATCTTTCTTGGGAACTTCCACGACGCTTTCAATGATGTCTTCCTTTTCGATTTCATATGCCTTTATATCAATCGGGCAGAAGTTTTCAGATAACGGATTCTCTTCATGTAATTAACCATTATTTTTGGAGTTAAAGATACTATTTTAGCAACATAAAATCGTACGATCCTCTTTCCAATAAGCTTTGTTAGGTAGAATCTACCAGTTTCTAGTGTAAACTCTGTTCGTGTGTCTGGTTTGTTATTTTTAGACATCTTCTCAATCTATGTATGACTCATGCTCAGAAGAAGGATTCGAACTATCATCGTAAGGGATACTTTCGACGTCGTCGTTGTCAGAAGGTGAATTGTTGAGATCCTTCGATTGGGGAAATAATGGTTTAGTCTTTTTAATTTTATGGCCTGTTAAATGAGACGACACTATAAGGCGCTCCCTAACTTTCGCGTGATTGGTTGGTGGGTGGGTCCCAATTTAAAATTGGCGGGTTTCATGTTTATTAAAATGACAATTGAGGTATTGTGGCACAGTATGTCGGTAAACAATTTATTAGCAATATATTGTGGTATTGGTACAAAGCGGATGATATTCACATTTTAGGATTAAGCTGACTAGTACAGTTTTATTAGAAATTAAAATGCTAGTGATGCTTTTTTTTATTAGATATATAGATATTGTTTTAATTTTTTTGTTTAGGTAATTTTTTACTAAGATTTAGAGGTTCCTCTTATTATTTTTATTTCTAGAATATTCATTACCATTATTATTCTCATTAGGTTTCTCTATGTGGAATCGGCTTCTCTAAGTATTTTCCTCTAAACTTTTCTGTTCTCTTCCAGGGACTAAGTACCTCTCCGCTTTTTGTATGAGTATATGGATTTTCAGAAACATGTAATTTCTGATCATCCCCTTTTTTACTGCCCTACATTCAGTACCATACATCATAGCTGGTCTAAAGGCAGTCCTATACAATTTACCTTTTAGTTTTCTTGGTAATTCTTCAATAATCTACTGAAGACCAACCACCTTAGGAGAAATGCAGCAGTATCAATCGAAAAGTTGTTGGACACCATAGATGAACTAGTGGACATAAAAATGTGGAAGAGGATTATCAACATTCAAAGACCAAATGCGAACAATTACCAAGACAGGATTATAACAAAAGCACACAAATTGGCAGAAACGATGAAAAACAAGGTGGAGGTTAAGAAAAATGTGAAGGTATATGGTCAATTTCAGGTAGAGTAATTTAGAGATCCTAATAAATTATATAATGTAAATATAAAGCAAGTATGTGAAAATGAATGTAAGACATTGTATTGTAGAGTATGTAAAATTTGTATTCATCGCTACCAGTGTGAGTGTTTTGAATATGTGGTGAGGAATACCTTGTGTAAGCATGTGCACTTGGTAAGAATGCATGAGGAGCGCGAGGGAACTAACTCTGTTTTAGATGATGCTGCAAGGTGTTTGGCAGAAACTTCAATTATCAAATCAAAGCATCAGGAGGAAATTAATGCGTTTGTCAGAGGGAAGGTAGAACAGACAAATGTATCCAGGAAAACACCAAACGATGTCTTCAAAAAGAAAACTTAAAAATGCCATGGACAGCTTAGATGACGTAGATGGTGAAATGTATACACAAGCACATGACGAAATTATGAGAATTGTTCAAGGAGCAAAGCGTAAGATGAAGGAAAAATATCAGGAAACCACTAAGGATATTACAAAGAAGCGGAAAATGGAAAAGCAGGAATATTTTCCTTCCAATAAAAAAAGAAACTGATTAAAATTAAATTTGAACCATTCTTGTATCTCACATGTATTTTGTGTTTTTGTATCTGTATTGAATTTTTATTATAGTTTTATATGCTTATTTACAAGAAAGTTAATTTAACATTGTTATATGTTTACTTTATTAGTAATTATATAGTAAAATTTCATAATATATATATATATATATATATATATATATATATATATATATATATATATATATAAATGCTTTAGCTTAGGTCTGAATTTTAAAGCTGTGTTAAGTAATGATGCTATAAAGCTATTTGTAGACTTTTATATTAGAATTGTATTTTTAAATCGGGATGTACTGGGCCCTAGGCGAGGTTTAGAGGGGTTTTCCTTCGCCATTGCACAAATAACGGCCTCCCCCTCCTTTGATTTCCGATTTCAGATTTTTAATAAAGAATAAAAACATTTTAGACATAGCTATTTAGTGTTTTATTTGGTTTGCAATAGTTATTTCCAGTAAACCTCTGCTTCATTTTGTTGACAATGACAATTTTTCATAGCACTCAATTCACAATATATCTTTTTATTATCCTACATTTGTGGTAAAATCTAACAGAATTCAGTGTAAGGTTCTAAAAAATGAAAATGGATTAATGTCAATTTGGATTTAGGCAAGGCAGGTCTACAACAGCAATTTTTATTAAAAGAGCTAATTTAACAATTTAGAGTGAATTTACATAGTATTATTAAACTTGAGAAAGCACATGATGAAGATATCAGAAACCTACTGTGTGTGTAACAATTATAATAGTGTTAGAACAACTATTATAGTGTTAGAACGATTACAGGTGAAACTGGCAAATTTTGTGTGAAAATGAGTGAAAATCAGGGTTTCGCCCATATTTATTCTCATTTGTGCTGGATTAGATAACAACTAACCTCCTGGGTATTAGTAGAAAAGAGTAGCGGAGACAGGTCCTTGAAGAAAAATGA